GCCTATTATATTCATTGTTTTGCACATCAACTTCAATTAGCTCTTGTGGCCGTGACAAAGGGAAATGTTGATATTTCCACTTTCTTCACATATTGCAATAGCTTGGTTAATATTATTGGAGTATCGTGTAAGTGTCGTGACATGCTTAGAGATCAACTACAAAAGGATATTACGGAAGCTCTTGAAAAAGATACTTTTCCAACAGGGCGAGGCTTAAATCAAGAAACTTGTCTCAAGCGGCCCGGTGATACACGTTGGAACTCACATTATGGTACATTACTTAGTATCATTTCCATGTTCAAATCTGTGGTGAAAGTGCTTAAATTGATTATTGAGGATGGCTCCACTGATAATCTAGGTGAAGCAAATAGGTCATTGAGAGGAATACAATATTTTGAGTTCGTATTTCATTTATTTTTCATGAGATCTATATTGGGAGCCACAAATGACTTGTCACAAGCATTACAAAGGAAAGACCAAGACATTGGGAATGCAATGACTTTAGTCAAAGTTTGCAAGGAACAACTACAACACATGAGAGAGAATGCATTTGAAGCCTTGCTTGATCAAGTATCTTCCTTTTGTGGCAAACATGATATCTTGGTTCCAAACATGGATGATGCATATGTCGCTCAATGGAGATCACATCGGAGAGCTCCTATAATAACACATCTCCATCATTATCGTGTGGACATCTTTATTCAAATCATTGAGTGGCAACTTGCGGAATTAAATCATCGCTTCAATGAGGAAAATACTGAGTTACTTCTTTGTTTGACATGTTTGAGTCCGGATGATTCATTCATAGCTTTTGACAAACAAAAGGTACTTCGTTTTGCTGAATTTTATCCTCAAGATTTTAATCCCCGGGATCTCTTGGCACTTGAAGATCAACTTCAGATTTATATTAATCATATGCGTACGATGACCGATTTTTCTCAATTGAAAGGGATTGGTAGCCTTGCAAGAAAATTGGTGGAGAAAGGGTTGCATAGAACATATAATTATGTTTATTTGCTTCTCACATTAGCCTTAACTTTACCGGTTGCAACTGCTTCTGTGGAGAGAGCATTTTCTGCTATGAATATTGTGAAAGGTCCACTGCGCAACCGAATGGGAGATCAATGGTTGAGTGATAGCTTACTTGTTTATATTGAGAAATATGTGTTTGCTTGTATTGATAATGAAACTGTAATGCTACGTTTTCAGAATATGAAAACTCGTCGTGGACAATTGTAATGTGGTTTTTTTTAATTAATTATGAATTATAATATTATCGTTTTATTCTTATGAGTATATTTCGTACAATTTTTTTTTAACATTTAGATGTTGACCCCTGGAAGGAAATTTCCTGGATCCGCCACTGGAGGGAAGGAATGGTGAAAAGAGAGGATGGCGGGAAAGATATAGAAGAAATGTACATGGATAACATACAAAATGAAAACTAAGAACTGAAAACAATTTTAAGTAAGTTCAATTTTGTGTACCGAAACATGTAAATTTCTTCCACATCCTTCCCACCACCCTTCCTCCACCCTTGTTATCATTCTTTTCTCCCATGTGTTTCGCCTCTGTTTGTAACAAAAAAGTGAAAACTAAAAATAAGAGTAATCATTCTTGCAAAAATTTAGGCAATTTGAGCCATAATCTTTCACGAATGCTTGAAAAATAGACGGTTGATCCTTAAAATACAATGCGTGGTGGAGCCTATAAGGGTGGGATCCATCAATTGAAGCTATGTTATATATAATTATTTGAGCCATCTCTCAAAAGAATGGGATTGTATACATACTTATACATACAACTACATATACAAAGCTATATTTTGAGGGAGTGGGAAATCAAATATAGAAATAAGAATGTAGGGAATCCACCCAAAAACTGGGGAAAGGTCTTGAATTTTTTGGATAATATGATAAAAATGACGACTACACTCAACTCTTCAAAATAATAAACATAAAAACCCTAGAAACTCTAACTATTACAAATTTTTCTTAAAAATATAGAATTACAAAGTTTTCCTGTGTTAACTTAATCAACACAACGAACAACTGCTTAATTACGAACAAAATAAACGAAACATAAAAGATTGCTTGGCTTTTCCAACACCAAGCACATGGCTTGAGTGTATCTTTTCAACTACCTGCTTCTTAATAATTTTGCACTTGCATCACTCAAGCTGGGACATTCTTGAACAGGGAGGTACTGGAGTTCAATGAGAAGCTTCAAAACTGGTGGCAATATATCTAAATTAGGACAAGCAGGATTTGTTCCTCAAGCCATTCTGGAAGAGTTGCAAAGATATATTGCAGTGACTGTATCTAAGTCTGCCAATTTATTAAAGAAGAGAGGCCAAGGAGACGATTTTGTGTCTTTGAGAACCCAAGTTCTTTTTTTTTCTTTCCACCGAAAATTTTCTAATCTAAATTTCAGTTCTTCATCTGGGTTTTATGCTTTACCCTTTAGTTTATTTTAGAAACAAATTATTTCTTGTTCTTAAGACTTAAAACCTGGGCAATGTGTTCATTTATGGACAGTAAAAAAAAATGACATATAACCTGGGCTTTTAAACTAATTGTATATGGCTGCTTTGATGCGTTCTTAACTAATATTGAAAGGGCCATATAACTACCTGTTCTCATCCCGTTTCGTAACTCAGAAAACTATTCTTTGTTCACCTCTTCCCATCAAAACAGAAGTGTCCACTAACAATTTTCAGAAAAAGTGTCCTCTACAGAGATTTTATTAACATGATATCAACAGAAAATCAGAGGATTCTCAAAGCAGCTTTGTATGCGAACATATGAAATTCTACAACTAAAGGAATATTAAAACTTTGTGGTCACTCTATCCATCTAAACAAATGATATGAAGGAAAGGGAAAAAAAAACGCACACCACAAACACCAGGAGAAAGGAGTTACCATAATGATACTAGCTTGTCGATGACAATGAAACAGAAGTTGCTTATTGAGAAGCTGTTTGAACAGAAGAGCTGCCCGATGTGCTTGCTTCACCGGACTGGCTGACCTGAGGTGATCCAATGTACTTATGTGGGACATGTGCTATTTTCAACCAATCCTCGCCACTTCCTGGTCTACATCTTTGCTCGAGCTCAGGACATTCTTGAATAGAGAGGTGTTGGAGTTTTTTGAGAAGCTTTTGACCTGGTGGCAGTACTTTTAAATTAGGACAATCAGATATGGTCAAAGATCGAAGCGAAGCAAGATTCCCAAACCATTCTGGCAAAACTGTTAGATTAGGGCAGCTAATAATTTCCAAGCAGTGCAGCGTCGGGACATTTTGTATCCCATTTGGCAGAGCATCAAACCAAGGACAGCTCAAGATAGTCAAACTCCGAAGAGAGGAGAGGTGTTGCACACCCTCTGGGAAAGAACCAAGATTTGGACAATTCATAATGCTCAAGTGTTCAAGGAATGTGAGATGCTCCAAACTTGATGACAGAGAAATCAGATTACTGCAGCTCTCAATGAACAAAGTCCGAAGGGAACACAAACCTCCAATTCCACCATCTGGCATGGACATAATACTGTGACAACCACTAATCTCTAGTGAGTGCAGAGATTTGAGGTTTTGCAAAGTCTGTGGAAGAGAGGACAGCTGTTCACAACAACGAATGGTTAATGATTTCAGAGAAGTAAGGTTTCCCATCTCTGAAGGCAGTAAATGAAGCTTGGGGCAACACAAGATCTCCAGAGAAGACAGATGAGCTGATGCAAAAAACCCTTCTGGGAGACAGGATAGCTCTGGAATTTTTTCTATAACAAGCACAGAAAGGAGAGTTAAATTTGCTGTGGGCATTGATGTTGGATTACAATCCCGCAGCTCCAAATGTTGAAGTGACTGACATAAGGGTATATGTGCTAACTTGGGACAACTTTTGACAGTTAATTTCTTCAATCTAGGGAATGCATTTCCATCAATTGCACTTGACCACTCCTCTAAGTTTGCAAAATCACTGATTGATAGTTCTTCAAGTGATGGAAACCGTATGTCTGCTCCATCACCATAGAACTCTGTACCAATGCATCTCACAGCATCCATTCGATGCAGAGAAAGAGTCTTAAGTAGCAGCAAACTTCCAAGGGCAGGAAGATGTTCACAATTTCTACAATAGGCCAAATTAAATGAAACTATATTAGGGAGAGCCCAATGAGGAAATTTGATTCCTGGATACCCATGTATAACTAGAATTTTCAGATTATTGTGTGGTTGCAGGCCTTCAAGAATTTCTTCGGCCACTCTAGCATCAGGTTCATGCTGTTTTGGACCTATGTTTGATCCTGAGATGTCTAATTTATGTTGGGCTTTATGTAGTTTCGTGAATGAATCGTCCAAACCTTCAAATCCCTGGTATAGTCCCCAGTATAATCCCAATAACTCAAGATTTTCCTTCGTCTTCAATCCAGCATAATGTGCTATGGATGAATTTCTAACTCTCCCCAACTGTATAATATTTAACTTTCCATAAAGATTTAAATGTTGCAGAGCTCTGAGACTCCTCCAAGCATTGATGTTATTGGCAATGACGGAATGCATGATCTCCCAGCTAACGACAAATAATGGCAATGTCTGAAGTTGGCGTAACCTTACAATACCAGTACACATCCCGTCCAAACTTTGGCATCCAGTTATATTGAGATGTCTTAGGCCGGTCATGCCTCCTAAGAAAGGCAAGCTCCTAAGATTATGACAACCAAAAAGGTTTAAAGTCTGCAGAGCACAAAGTTTGCTTGTGCTTTCAGGTAACAGACGAATAGGTGTGTAAGAGACATCAAGATACCTCAAGCATATCATAATACCCAACGATTCTGGTAAATTGTAAACATTGCAGCTGCTCAGATCCAGTGAACGCAAGTAAACAAAAGTCGAAAACATTTTTCCAACGGATCTTAATGAGCCGGATTCTCCAATCAATAGGAGAGTTCGCAAATGTTTTTCCTCATATAGAGCTTCTGGAATTGTAATTTCTCC